GAAGGAGCTGGAATAACCAGGGACCCCAAGGAGGTTGGTGTGGCTGCAGCATAGAGTGGGGAGAGGAGCTGGAGAGACCAGACTGGGCCGACTGGGCAGGGCAGGTGGAGAGGGGCAGGCAGCTGGGGTGTGGTGAGGGGCTCCAGATGGCGCAGGGAGGGGGCGACCGTGGTGTGACGTACAGCTCGTGAGGTCCCCAGCTGCTGCCTGGACAAGACAGAGTGGGGAACCAGGGCGGGGGGGCGCCAAGGTGATGGAGTGTGCCTGGACTGAGGAACATTCTGGAAGCAGCCTCACAAGTGGTTGAGGTGTGGGTGTCAGCAAGGTGAGGCCTGGCACACAACTGCTTCCCACGGCCCTGATTTCGGGGGGAAGCAGAGGCAGGGGGTGGTGGACGAGGAGTTTGGAGGGCTGGTGGGGGGCTGGGGCACGGCAAGCTTGGGAAGCAGGGGAGACGTCTGAGATGACAGCTGATACCCTGCTCTGGAGCTGAAGGAGACCGGGTCTGGGCGTCCACACCGCCTCCCCCAGTTCGGCTCCTAGGACAAGCTTGGATTCCAACAGGCACCGGGCCTGTGGGAAGTCCCAGGCGGCCCGAGCACACTCTGACCCTCCTCTGCCCCCTGCCGCCAGTTCTCTCTTCTCTGTCCCCAGGCATGAGGCCAGGGAGTTGCCGTCCTCTCTGTCCACCCCCCACCCTACACCATGAGAGCCGAAGACAGGCTCCTGCAGACCCTGCACCTCTGGGCATCCCTGGGGTCGCCCCCTCTCCACGCCCTTCTGCCCTCCCTGCCCTGCTCCTCACCCCTCAGTGGTTCCCGCCTGGGTGACCCCTGAAGCCTCCTCATCACACTCCTGTCTGCTCTGTCCACCCTCCACACCGGCCCAACACTGCAGTCTCCTGTGCACAGGATGCACCTGGGGTCTGCAGCCCCCCTCCAGGAACCAGCCTCAGCTAGCTCTGCGTCCTGGCCCTCTCCATGCGTCACCAGGGGTGGACCCCAAGTACTTTCTGGCCACATTGCTCAACACATGTCTTTCCTCCGAGTATGCCCTTTCCCACCTTGTCCCCCCAACAGAGCTCCTATTCATCCTTCAGAGCCCCACCTCACATCTGCTGCCCATGAGCCAGCCCTCACCACATGACGCTAACTCTGGCTTTTGGACTCAGTTCCCTCACTAGACCATGAGCCCCAGGAGGGTGGGGCCCAGGCTGCTTTGCCTCTGAGGCCACTGCCCAGCCCAGGGCTCCCACAGAGCACAGGGAGCTGAGGCTGCCTTGAATGCAGAGGAGAGGAGGGGAAGCCTTAGGGTGGGCTCCCAGGATGACCCCACCTCCCATCCTCCAGGATTGGGCTGAAGCACCGTGGTTCTCACAATCCCTCCCACCCTGAAGACCCTGGAAACCTGCCTCTCCAGAAGGAGAGGCAATGTGATCAGGGGATTCCCTGAGGCCATTGGGAGGGGTCTTGACTGGGAGGTCAGGGTGTCGGGTGATGCAGTGGGGTCGGCAGCCCCCTTCGAGGGCTCGTCTGGGGCTGGGGGAGAGTCTTGGGAGATAGCAAGGAGATGGAGTCTCCTCCAGCTGCAGCTAGCTGGGGTCCCGGAGAGGCGCAGCCTCAGGGTTAGGGTCTGTGACCCTGACCAGGCCCAGCCTCACTTTCCCCATCTGCCCCAGGGGAGGCATGCACAGAAGCCTCTGAAGCCCCTGCCTGGCCCTCCCCTGGCCCTGAGGGTGTGGGCACCCTGCAGGAGCCCTCGGGGTCCCTGGACACAGGATCTGGCTGAGTCGGGAGAGGGGTGGGGGTCCTGGGTCCCAACCCACGTCACAGGGGTCATTGGAAGGAGAGGCCCTGGGGTGTGGGCTCCACCTGCATCCGCCAGGTAACGATGGGGTGCAGGAGCCCCACGGAGCTTCAGACAGACATGTGGCTCTCTGGGGCACTCCTGAATTCCTGGGTGCCACAGCCGAGGGAGGAGAGGTGACACCCAGGCATGGGGAGGCCTGGCAGGTGGGGAGGAGCCCCTTCTGCAGCCTCCTCCTCCCGTCTCATTTTCTCATTGATGAGTCTGGCACCCAGAACTGGGCCTGGCCTGAAAAAGTGGTGCCAAATGAATGAATGAGTGAGTGAATGAATGAATGAGTGACTGAGTGGATGAATGAGTGACTGAGTGAATGAATGAATGAGTGTGTGAGTGAATGAGTGAGTGAATGAATGAGTGAGTGAGTGAGTAGCCGAATGGTGATGTGAGACTGGATCCCAGCTCTTTTCTTCCTGCTCCAACGGGCACAAAACTCCTGCCACTGGAATTTGCATTCTGGGATGAGGCAGGGGGTGGTGGCAGGCAATGAACCAATAAGAGACCGGGGTGACTGGGTGAGGGTGGAGGGGGACGGTTTGAAACTCAGCCATCAGAGACAGCCTCCTGGAAGAGGCCATGGTTCAGCAAAGACCTGGTACAGACAGTATCCTGGGCTGGGCGCCCTGTTCCCCTTGGGGCCTGACACTGGGCTCAGCACCCAGCGTTGTGAGGCTTGATGTGGGGTGGGTGAGGAGGGACTGGGCAGCCGGAGGGCCCAGCCAGCCATTGGACTCCCTATTTAGGCTGAAACTCACAGGGTAAGTCTTGCCCCTTGCCATGCCTCAGTTTCCCCACCTGCCCAGGGTGGGGTGGATGAAAGGGTCTCTGAGGATGTATTGGATGGGAGTGGTGGGTTGAGAGCTGGGATCGGGGGGTTCTGGGGGCCTCACCAGGTGTAGGGAGAACATCCTCTGTCTTCTGGACACCCCCACCTCGAGGAGCATCCCAGGACTTGGGGGTCAGTGGGAGCATGGCAGGGAGCAGAGGTGGTCCCGGCACCCTCAGACCCTGCCCTGGGCCCCGGCAGTGTGCTCGGAGGCAGCTGTGTGCTACTGGGGTTTCCAGAGCATTCTAGAGCACTCCCCAGGGCTCATAGGGCTGAGCGGAGGGTGCAGAGGGGGTGCCCCTTCCCCTTCGTTGGAAACCCCCAGGCCGCGCTTGGGCAGGGGGTGTACAAGGGGGAGCAGGGTGGGGGCACTCTCTAACAGGCCCTCAGGTGTGGGGACAGGAGCCTGAGCTGCTGGGTCTCCCGGGGGCACCCAAGCCCCTGGGACCCGCCTGACCCCCTGCTTGCCTCGGAGCACTGGGGTCTGCGGGGCTGGGTGATGGTGGCCAGGGTGGACGCTGCCTCTGAGCACCGGGAAGCTTTGCCAACAGAACGATGGTCAGTCCCCACCCCACCCCCAGGACTGCACCCCTGCCCTTTTCCTTCCCCTGTGCCCAGGCTCTCCCCACCAGGGTACCCCAGAAATGGAACTATGTAGTGACCCCGAAGACGCTGGTGACGGACAGCCAGTCCTGCCCCGTGTGACCGCTGCCCGAGGACATCCAGGCAAACCTGGCTGACCCCAGATGCCAGCTGCCTGCAGGACGGTGAACCCTCTGGTAGGGTCCCCATCCTCCAGGGGTCCTGCTCCAATACCACGTGAGGGGGGCACTCACAACCCTCCTTCCACAGACCAGAGGCACAAGAAGGCCGGTGCAGTCGGCACCGTCACGTCCATCAGATGCCGTGGGGTTTCACTGGGGCTGGGGGGGGGGTCTGTGCCTGCGACCCTCGAGGAGGATTTTGTGCCGATGTCAGGACCAGGAAGGGGCTCCAGGTCAGCCTGGGCTGGGCATCCAGCGATCTGTTCACTGGAGGGAGTGGTTCCTGGGTCCTTGAGGGCTCAGCCTCAGGGCCTGAAGGGGACCTGCCGGGGCCTACGGAGATGGCCGAGCCCATCAGGGTTGGGACGGGTCTGATTAGACGGAAGCCACCACCTTTAATTGATTTTGCAACCTCATAGATGAAGGAGGCCAGAGGGGTGCCATGCCCATCACATCGGCCTCGGACTTAAACGTGATGTGAGAGCCAGGGCGGCTTGGGGGGCTGACTCACCTGGTTGCTCCCCATCCAGGACGCCAGGGGTGGGTGGGCTGCCTCTCACGAGACCCCTGAGTCTGCCTCTTAGGCACCAGGTGTGTGTATGATGGTCCCCTCCCCCAGGCCTGCTGTCCTGTCCCCCAGCTCTGGAGGTGGCCATGGCTCTGGGGAAGCCCAGGTGGGGAGAGCCCCATCTACACAGGAAGACTGGGGTTTGGGTCTGAGCACAGTTTGCACACGGGAGACCCTGGGCAAGGCCCTGGCCCTGTCTGAGCCCCAGTTTCCCCATCTGTGATGGGAGCCAGAAATACCCAGCCCCACCCCCTCCCAGGGACAGGTGGGGTGTGGACACAGTGGGGAGCCCCTCTTGGTGCTCAAGGATGGCAAAATGGCAAAGTATCCCCTCCCCTCACCCTCCTGGGGACTCAGGGTGCCCCCAGCCTCCTGGGGTCGGGAAGGGTCGCCTTCTGCAGAGCTGTGTCAGGGATGTGCAGGTAGAAACTGGCCTGACCCAGTCCCGGGCAGAGGTGTGGACACACCAGGGTGCACTGCTGGGAGGCATGGTTTCTTTGGAGGGGAGAGTTACCCCATTTCCATAAAAGCAGGTAACAGGAAACCAAAGAGGGCTCCTCCTGGCCCTTGCTGTAGGGAGCAGCAGGCTGGCCCCCTGGGTGTCACAGCAGTGGGGGAAACGCCGACGTGCTTTGGGGGGCCTCCTCCACTTGATAGGAAACTCAAGGGGGCTGCTAATGGGCAGGAGAGGCGCCACAGAACTTGCCCCGCCGCAAAGCTGGGCTCCTGCCGTGGGCGGAGGATCTGTGCCCAAAGGCTGTGTCTGCGGAGTCCCACCTCCCTCTGCACGCCCCTCCCCTGTCCTCCCCTCTGCTCTGTGGATCAAGTTCTGCTTCCTGCAGAGCCCAGCCCTCGGCCCCCTCAGTCTAGCGCTGTGGAGTCCTGCTCCCCAGGCCTCTATGGGCCCAAAGGGCACTTACCTGGGGACTGGAGACAAAGACTTCCTGAGAGCTGACAGCCCTGCTAACCCCTCCTCACTGGCTCCTGCCGCACTTTCTCTTTCTCTTTCTCACAACGAGGCGGCAGGAAGGCCAAGTGCTGAAGCTGGTCCTGCTGGCAGGGGTCCCGGGACAGCGGCCAGGGAATGAGGGGTCCTGAGGAGGGACATGGAGCCTCCGCGAGGCTGGGGGCCGCCGCCCTGGAGCCCAGCACCCAAGGCTGACGCCCTGAGCCTGGTGAGTCCCCTGAGCCTCTCTGTCCAGCTGTGCCCCAGTGCCCCCACTCCTGCCCCCGGGTGTACCCCTCATTCTCCCTCCTCCCTGTCCCTGCCCTGGGATGTCCCCGTTCTGCCC